TATAGCTATAGACGACACGAAGAGCTGGATAAGGAAGTGGGGGTAGAGAGAGAGAGAGTAAGGTAGAAATCTCCATGCGCAGCTTAATCAACGAGAGTCGTCTCTTGGCTCGCTCGCTTGCGTCGTTCTCTCGCTGCGTGTCTAAACCATCATTCCATCAGACAAAGAATGATCCCGCAAGCTCTAGCCCGGCTAACAGCTCTATGTATACGTGTGTACAGCCCCACACACACACACAGGCTCGGAGGGGCTTTTCGCTCTCGGCAGCAGTAGCCTATGACTGTAGTACATCTACCTCGACGCACACACGTACGAGTTTATGTGTATACGCGTTCAGCCTCTCCCGTTCTGTCTTGCAGTAGTTCCGCCGCCGCCGTTACTAACGAAGACGTGCCTTGGCATCTCTATGCGCGCCCGCTCTACATCCCCGAAGCTTTCAAGCTCCGAAGCTCGCCCAACGACACGCACGACTTTCTCTCTCTCTCTCTCTCCACTCTCTTTCTCTCCTCCCCGCGTCATCCAAACTCCTGCTCGTCTAAACTTTTCGTCCATCGATATTATAAACTCGTTTCTTACATTTCGTCTCTGGACAACTCGTCATCTCCAAAATTCATTAGTTTTAAACGTTTTATTCCTGCTGTTTCGTGCAGAAAATTCAATAGGCATCTTTGATGATCGATCGATTAAGAATCATTGTTCCATCGATCAGTCGGAAGCTCTGTCGCAGTTTGGTGAAAAGTTACTGAATAAATGCGCCACAAGGAGTCGCTCGAGCCTCTCGAGATGCGTAGAATAACACCACTGCTCGGGGGGTAGATGCGGCCGCGTCACACGCACGTAGCTCTTTTTCGTGCCGCCACTGTGACTCGCCTGAGCTGCGCAGCTCGTGCGCCTCTATACTTTCTGATACAGCGAGAACGGCATATTTTCTTTCGCATAATACATCTGTCTACCTCAGCACCGTTTCTCTCTCTCTATCCCTCTCTCTTTCTCTATTATAGTAAAACCAGCCCAGCCTTTAGCTGCGTGCAGCCTGCGAGACTTTTTACTTTAATACAAGAGTCACGCGTTGTCCTCTTGCAGGGGAAGCAAACAAAAAAATACTCACTCTCTTCTGCGAACTATATCTATGAAAAATATTTTCTTCGGCGAAATTAATGTAAGAAAACATGGAGAATATCAAGCACTGGCGAAGTTTTGACTTATTAACGTAGCTGGAAAGGGGCTAAGGAATACAAAAATTTGAAGTTTGAATATAGAAATCCAAAGCCAAAGAAGTTAAGTATGAGATAATTTTGTCGAGAGAGAGAGTAAGATAGTTGGCTGCAAGCTCAAAAACCTCAGTACGATTCGTATCTTGTAAGATCATATCTGTGGTGGAAAGGGAGAACCGACCAACTCCATTTTTTTCGAAATCGAGTTTATGACGTTAAACATCTACATTTAGTGTCAACTTTGATATGCAAGTGTCTGAATGGCCGAAAATTGCGTCAATCGCTTGGTACAGAACAATGCCAAACCGACCAAGTCCATTTCATGAGAAACGGTGACCGGCCAAACCGACCAAGTCCACCTCGAACGAGAATCCACAACGTGTAATCGAATATACTTTTGTTCAAAATGATAGAAAATGATCTTCTGACGATGTGTAAGTATAATTCTCGCGTCATTGGATGCTATTGATTGGCCTATCGCAGTGCGACAATTGGCTCACTCCGAGGCGCGCCGCGGCCTAGTGATGTGCGGTGTCTCGACTCTCCACTCGACACAATCGTATTGATTAGGAGTTATTTTTTCAAATCAGAAGATGAATAACACGTAATCAATACAAAACCATGGAGAAATATTAATTTTAAAGCCATCAGTTGCCGCGACCAGTGGACTTGGTCGCACAAACGTTTCCCGGACAAACCGACCAAGTCCATACTTTTTGCTTCGTGCTCACGCTCTAGTGCACCTTTCAATTTCATAGATACTCAAAAGATACCTCATAGTATGTTAAAATACCATACATACAGACCTCTAGCCAGCCGCGTCTAGCTACGAACTCATACGCAACTTCAAACACGTTTTTCTCGAAAACATGAAAAATGGAGTTGGTCGGTTCTCTCTTTCCACCACAGAATATATTACGTGAGAAGCTGCTTATTATAAGAGTATTATATATATAGATATTAGAGTAAAGGGGAACCGCAGCACTATCGGCTACAACATGTATCGGCTGTTGCTGAAGTTTTGGCTCTTAATACATGTGAGAGTATGCTAAATGCAAATCTATGCGTTCATAACAATTTGTTTGACGCTGAGCAAGATTCGAATGAGTCAAGTACTTTTATGTGAGCCGAGGACTTTTCTGACGATACTGGTCGAAATAAGCTACGCAAGAAGTGCATAATAATTAGAGAAGTATCAACGAATAAATATGATAGAGCAGCGTATCGGCAGACTCGAAAGCAAAAGCGTCCGAATCGTATGCAATTTGGGCGAGAATTTGGGCAAACGAGCGAAAGAGCGGCTCGACCAAGAGGAATGAAGAGAAGAAGCAGCAGTAGCAATACGAGTACGAAAACTCTATATAGATGCGCAGTTGGGTGCATGTGTGTGTGGTTGCTTGCGAGCCGACGGGTCTATATATATAGTTAGATAGATGAACACACATAGCTATAGGAAAAAGGAAGAGAGGGTATGAGAAGGAGACGCTGCTGCGCGACCGTGTGCAGGAGAGCGCGTCCTCGCCACTGCACGGAGGTCCTCCCGGATCAATACGATCGCTAATCCGCCACCGGCGCTATTATGCGAAAGCCGAGGCGTGGCGCGCCACTCGCTATCCGCAGCTGCCTACTATATATACACCTTACAGCAGCCGCCTGGCCAGCGTCTTGCCGAACGATGCGAGCGACGATTCAGCAGCCACCACGAAACCCGCGAGCTCGCCCTACCGTACCTACGCAGCGTCGAGCGTGTCACGGCTATCCCGTCCGCGAGGACGACCTATCTGTACGCTGCACAACTTGAGCTTGCGATCGCACAACTCTGCGCCTCTCTTGCGACCAATTCCTCGCTGGAAAAAAAAGCAGAGCCAATCAACGAGGCCATAAATGGATACAAAAATCAATAAGCTTTATTTTGACGCTAAGCTTACTTTAAGCTTTGCTACGAGACGTGTGGAAAAAAATTCAGTAAGCAAACTACACGACTAATACCGAAAAATCGTCATCTCCGGCGAGAAGCGAAGAAAGCTTGCTCGTACCAATGATACGAGCACGAGCGTGGCCTTAAAGTCGTGTCCCTTAGAGCAGCTCGCATAAACTGGTCAAATTGAAATGCACGCAGTATGTCTGGTAGCAAAAAGGTCGTATCGATGTCGCACTTGGGCAAGCCTCACAGATGCTGCACGACTAATGCACAAACGAGTGCGCTATTCGTAGCGAGCTTCTGGCAAGCCACTTGCTGTCGCTGACGAGGCCTTTACAAAAGTGCACCAATTGTGGCGGGCCATAGAGAGCTTTGAAAAGCCCCGAAAGTCGGGGCTAGTTGCGAGTTGGCGAGCTTGCGATCCGTCATCGCTCCTCGCGCGCCTACACACAGACAAACGAGAGAATATATAGGGACTAGAGCTGCAGCGAGCAAAATCAATCTCCCTTTGTTTTGGCCGAAAATCTCTTGACCCATGCGAGGCGCGCGTTCCCAAACACTTGCTCGCTCGTCGCCTACGCCGCTGCAGAGCTTGCACGCGCAAAAAAAAAACGGGAAAAAACGAGGAGATTGAAAAAACAACGCATACATAAAAGGTGAAACATAAAAGGAAAAGGTAAAGTTTCGAGTTTGCGCCTACAGAGAGTACAGAGAGAGAGAGAGAGAGGGCTATTATTGTCGAAACAAGCTGCTGCATCGCTCACTTGCACACATAGCCATGCACCCCCGCATAGCTACTGTACACACGCGGATAGACAGAGCGCCAGTTTTAACTTTGGAATTTTTCTACGTGAAAAAGCAAAGGATGTTAGCCTCTCTACCTATGTGTTTGCAGTCTGCATACTCGGCCTCCCACCTAGCTTCTATAGGCCGCGTCGATGCTACCTATGCAAACGTATAAATATCTCTTGATGCGCAGCTTGGTGAAGCTGCAGAATAACACAAAAGTAAGTGAGGACGGTTTAAAAACGAAAGAGCCACAGCCCGACTTAGCCTGTGATTCGCCCCCGCAGCCCGAAAAATACTTGCCCAGACTTCCAAATTGTGTTACTAGAATGCAAGAAACTGCGCTAACTTATCGTGCAACTGCTTTTTTCTGGCTGCAAGCTTTCACAGTACTGATTCAAACGTGTATAATAAAAATTCACTTCCTTCACCTCCTTGATCTATTACTTTCTTATCTCAAAAATCATTTCTGTTGATGATATTATTCAATTATACGAATTTTTGAATCGCGTCACTTAATTTGTTTTTTTGGTATCTACACCTACGTCAACAAACTTTGATTAACTATTAATTTTTAAAACTTTTTTATCTATATTAAAATAGCAAAAAAAAATTTGCAACGTAAATTAACTCAATGTAATTGTAAACTTACAAAAGTGTACGAACAATTATTTCAAATATATTTATTCTCGAGTGAAAGAACTACATTGTTCACTTATTACATCAAATACGTCAATCAATCTATGGAGAATTAAGCTACAAAAACTACACGATATTGACCCTCACTTGCATAATAAAAACGTTTATTTATTTATGATAGTGTATTATGCTTCTTTAAACGCCAAAAAAGTACATCATAACTTTGTTGAGGAATTTTCCAAAATGTCGATTCCTTTTAAATCTTTTCAGTAAGCTTATGAAAGGAGTTCGTAAATTTTCCATATTTTTCAAAGTCGGATGATAAAACATGAACCTATAGGTGAAATCGTGTACTAGAAAACGTTACCTCATGATCATGATCGATGTACGAAATTTCTGCTTTATCAACGTCATTTTAGAACTGCGTAGCAGACGACAATCAAGTATATATTATAGTTACAGAGATATTTTACCTAACCCTAAAAAGTCCAAGTATATTGTCAGCACACGATACGTCAAAACAAACTTGATCAAGGTACAAATCATCGTTACAATATATTACTCAATAAATGTTATTCGAGGGTTTGATTAATTTCATTTTTCTTTTTTCATTAAACTTATTACTTTTAACTTCAAGTGCATTAAACTCTTGAAGTAACATTTATGTAGAAGCATCAGTTACTTCGTTTGACAGTTGCAATGAATTTTAGTGTAATTTTATGATATTAAATTTAATTTTCTTCATTTCAGATGAGCATTTTTACAAAAAGATTTATGGAAAAATGGCAGTGGGAAATTTGTAAGATGTTCTTATACATGTCGTTTCCTGTTGCTTGCTTCCATTATTTCAATTCTCCACAAATTTTTGAAGAATCTGTGACAAAACTAAAATTGGAATCATGCCCACCAATGCCTGTCGAAAAGCAAGAAAAAATAAAATCTTTGTTTGAAAAATTTAATAGTGAACGTGAATTGAAGCACCTCGAGGATTTAGAAAAAAAACGCAAAGGCAGTGTTTAAAAGTACTGAGTTATAGGTTTCATTTATTACAAACTAGAAGATTTTGTTTGAGTAGAAAAAAACTTGTACATAATATTATTTATTCAACATGCTTCTGGAATAAATTTTGTTTCTATTTTAAATGTGATATCTGACAAATTATATCATATTATTAAATACCTCAAAAGTTGGCTGCTTCAAGACATTATATATTTTTAATTTAACAGAGTTTTCTTTGAAAAATATTTTTGCTATGTTTTCATATTTTGTATTTCAAAAAAAAATTAATAATCATTTATATGGCTGCACAATTTGAAATAGGTTTTTATTATTTACGATAAAACTCAAGATATGAATTTTATTATTCCTCAAGAACGTATTCTTTAGAATATAATATATCCTCATTTGGGCCATGGACTCAGGAACCTACACATAGCATAAACCAATTACTAGATGGGTGAAATTTAATTTTTAAAATAGATAATTAATCTTATTGCATCAATCGATGCCTACTTGTAAGTGTATACCATACCACATGATCTGTAACTTGTCCAACTACCTAGTAAGAAAAAAGGATATTATTGCTGCGAAGTATCAGTTTTTTTAGTTCAGGGCGATTAAACAATGCAAATTTATTCTGCCAGGGCTGATCATTCTTCTCCTCTGAGACTTTAATACACATAAGATACCCATGAAATATTAGATATGGATTTTTCGATTAAAATGGATTTTAAAAAATCTGCTTTTATCGTGAATTGTATTAATCAATTCAGATTTAAACCGATTGAAATTGTTCCATTATTCCGTAAATTTTTTGTAATTTTTCCGTTTAAAACGGTAAATGGCTCATACAATCAGAGTAAAGGGTCAGCTCGTAACGTATACCAAAATGACCGCGACCATGTCCCATAAGACATCAATACTTATTTACGTGTACGTAATTAAACAATTAATGTCAAATAATATTACTTACTATAACAAAATTGCCTTTCTTTCTTCGTCCGATAATTATTTCATACAATTCAAAATGCTTTGATTCAAAAAAAGGAGGATGAAACATAAGTTTGTGTAAATTTCAATTTTTAATAATTCATGGACTAATTGGAAAATAAATTTTTATAAAAAACACGAATAAAATTTATTTTTTGATACAGCGTGCGGAAAGTTCGTTTTTCGCAGTCAGTAGAATGCTTCGAACGTAACAGATCCTGGTGCTGTGGCTACAGCTTGCGGAAAGTTCGTAAGCGTGCGGAAAAACAAACTTTCCGCAGCTGTATCAAAAAATAGTATACTCAACTCATGGGAACACCTACTTTCCGCACTCGTCGCGTAATCTACTATATCCATTACTATTACTTTTTAAATCAATTCAAGCGTTAATCAAATGTTTGGTAAACTAATGAGAACGTTTAAATGTTAAACGTTCTCATTAAAATATTTTTATGCACCTGTTAACTTTTAAAATTATTCGGAAAAAGTGGAAAGAAAACAATAACTAAAATATATTCCCAACCTTTTCACATTTTGTTATTAGCTTAAATAATTAAGAAACATTTTTATCGTTGAACGATTTTACACAACGATGTTATTTGTAATTAGTCTTAGCAAGAAACATGTAAAAATAACGCATCCGGTCGAACGGCGCGGGTATGGGTTGCGCTCAACACACGACACATTGAATAGATGTAATTATATATAGGTATACGCTTATCACCTTGTTCTACAGTGACTTGTCCAGCTGATCTGAATGTAGAAGATAGGAGACACGTCAAATAAATATGTGAAAATTTCATTTTACTGTCAACGGAATAAGTAAATCAATAAATCATAATTTGCATTTACTAAAGTTTGACCAAAACAATAATATATTTCATACCTTATTGCTTTGTGTTTATACTTTAAATTTTATTGTTAAGATTTAACAAAGTGCAATAATATATACTAATAAAACATCAACATGGCTGGAGTTTACGATAATATAACTTGGAGTGGTAAGCTACTTTTAACGGAATATATGCGTCGTTTGTACTTTAGAAAATAGAAAAACTGTCAATTATCAATTTATTATAGTTCAAATAAAATTTGAGCCATTCGAACAAAATTTAAGGTTATGCTCATGTTTACAGAAGCTCGAAATGTTTTACGAACATGGAGAGAAAACTCAGAACGTCAAAGTAGGGATGTTGTATATATCTGGGAATCGATTTTAAAACAACACGTTGATAAACTTGGAAATGAGAGTGAGTAATTTTGGATCAAATGTAACATTCACTATAGACATGTTCCTTTTTTTAATTACTTTCTTTTTGTTTAGAATTTCTAGTCCTAGAACAAGTATTTCTTGCAGCTTTAGACTGTCATAGTCTTGATTTAGCTGAAAAATGTCTAAAAATTTTGATGACAGAGTTTCCTGGAAGCTTGAGAGTGCACAAATGTCACGCCATGCATTTGGAAGCAATTGAATTGTAAGTCTCTAAAGGCTATTTGCTCAATTTCACTAAGTAATTATTATTATTATTATTATTTTATTAATACATTTTTCATAGGTATGATGAAGCTTTAAGTGTTTTGGACTCCATCATTAAAAAAGATGAAACTAATGCGGCTCCTAGAAAAAGGCGGGTTGCTATTTATAAAGCATACGGAAGAATTCCAGAAGCCATCAAAGAATTAACTGAGTACCTGAAGAAGTAAATAAAAAAATGATAATATTGCTACTAAAATTTGTTGAAATCTTTTTAAAAACGCATAATTTTTTAAATTATTCATTACAAAGGTTCATGAGCGATCAAGAAGCATGGCATGAACTTTCTGATCTTTATTTACAAGAGCAAGAATATGGAAAAGCTGCAGTATGTATTGAGGAACTCATACTTCATAATCCTCACAATCATTTATTACATCAGCGATATGCTGAAATTAAATATTCTATGGTAAATATAAATGAACATTTGAATTAAGTTATAAAGCACTATTTACATCCATGGTTTATTATTTCTACAGGGTGGTTATGATAATATGCTTACAGCAAAATCATACTTTTGCCAAGCAATAAAATTAAATCCCAATAATATCAGAGCATTATACGGTCTCCTTTTGGTATGTAAATCGGTACAAATTTTTAAAATTAAAAATAGCATAGAAGTATTTTTATTACACCAAATCAATAATTGTATTTGTTCTAGACTGTGAATCATATTTCTCTTTCTCAAAAATGTCCTGCTTCAAAGAAAAAAGAATTAGCAAAGTTAAGTACATGGGTATCAAAACAAATTGACCAACAGTACAAATTAAAAAACTCCAATGATGACACAAATATTAAACAAGTGGAAGATTTGTTAGCACATTTGCAACTTGAAGTATAGATATCTGCTGATTTCATATAATAAATAAAAATGAATAGTTTTGCATTATTGTAGTTGGCATTTTTAAAAAAGTGTTTAAGTAAAAAATTGTGTTATTATATATAATAATATTACTATTAACTGTATCATTCAATATCACATATTTAAATTCTATCACAATGAATTTTGGTTACTTTATTTTTAAACACCATACAATTTTAAATAAGTTGTAAGATTAATTTTTTGTTTAATAAAATAATTCAAGTTCTCTGCATGCAGTTTTCCAAAACTAATTTTAACTTTAGTTAGAATTTGACTACTTATTTAGAATATTGAGTATTGCATTCTTATCACTAAAGAAATTGAAGTCACTGACAGTTGTACGGGGACTGTTTTTCACGTCAGCAAAACACTTGAAATCTGAAAGAAATTATAACATATATAAACAAGGAATATTTCTATTTTTTTTTTTTTTTTTGTAATGGCACTTTTCACAAAGTGTTCTCATTCCCGTACACAATCCGCCTTAGCCACCCCTCCTAAAGAACAAAGACGGACATATAACCTCAATAGGCAGAGATATATCTGTACTGATTTAATGCTTTATACATTCCATTGTTTTTAATTCACAAAAACGTTGAAAACTAATTATAATTTGTTAAGATTTTTTCATTTGAAATCGATAATTGCAAATGCAGTTCAGAATGAGATGTTACGAAAGTATGATCTCATGTAGCATAATAGGTAAAGTATTATTTACTATTGCATACAAAAGAATGAATCAAATGAAGCACAAACGTCTTATTTTCTAATTGCAGAAAAAGACTGTAACAATGATACTTTGTGGACTTGGAATTATCCATCTATAGCAAATTTAGATAAAGCGATAATAACTAGAAAGTACAATTTTCAACTGGAGCACAACTATTTTCAGACATTTATTTTTTCAAGACATAATTCTAAATGGTTTTACATTTATAATAGTGATACTTCAGAATCTGATATCCTGGTCAAAGTGAGTAGCTTTGGATATTAATTGTTCGAAAAAGTACTGACAGCTAACTTTACAGGTTAAACAATTTGCTATTGTACTAATAGCTCAGGATTATTTTCCTCACAAATATCAATCATTAGGTAAAATTCTAAGTCGGGCTTATATTAAAAGTGGTAGCCCAATAGACATATTAAAATTGTATCTCATGACATTTTCAAAAAATTCCTGCATCATAAATGACAATCATATATTTTCATCACAAGATTTTGATGATTTACCTTTTGGAACAACTACTAATATTAGAGAATTAATCAAAACTTTTGAGTTAGAAATAATATTGATTTATACTGCTTTACTATTAAAAAAACGGATTGTAGTTTATCATCACAGTTTAGAAGAATTATTAAAATGGATAAAATCATTTCCTGCTTTAATGAAACATAGAAAGCTTACAGACTACCTATTCTCATGGGTAGATTTTGTACCCGATGAACTTTTTGAATTGAAGGTATTATCAAATGATTAAAGTAAAAATTTCTTTTTTTAAAAACTCATTGTAGATAAAACAACTAATTATCTGTTTACAGAAACATTCCTTTTACATAGCTGGCTTCAAAGATAGTATAATATCTTCTAGAACAGACTTGTATGATTTATTAGTCAATATTCCAGCTAGAGAAATAATTATAGCAAATCATGCAAAAGGTAAAATAATCAACAGATATTTTTTAAATTCATAAAATTTAAAAATAATTTATTTAATTTTAAAAAATTTAGAAAGTTTAAACATGACCAAAACTCACAAAGAAATTGCAATGTTCATGTTACAACTTGGTGAAAATCAATCATTCTCAGAAGCCCAGATTATATCTGAGATAAATGATAAGACTCAAGATTTACTAAAACAATTAACATCGTTGGCTACAGTGAAAACTTGTGAAGGAGATATGAAAGTTCCAATTCAAGCCATAAAAGGAAAAAATCTTTCAACTGCTGTGGAAAATTTTCTGGTCAATCTTGCTGTAGCTGAAAATTTACTCATTATGTGATATTACCAAGACAAACATACAATATAGCATTGATATTATATTTTAAAAATAAATATTAACAAAAAGTTCCAATAATAGTTGTATACAGAAAATTGTTTTCTAACGTGTTCGCTTAAAATCAAGAATATGCAATTTGAAAATATGCGGGTCCGAAGTGGTTGGACCGATTGACCAATGAAAAATACACTTTCGAAGCGCAGCCGCGCGCGCGAAAGTAATTGGGAAATGGGGGTGGGAGAGTATATAACAACTCTTACATTTGTTGTTTTGGTGGTACATATAGGAGATATATTATTGTGTACGTTTGTGCGACGCATCAGTCTCCCGAGTTCCGACTCCGAGCGATTGAATGCAGATTTATTCTACAAATGCTTATTATTCTTGGCCAAAAACTTTAGACTCATTGATATTTGTGGTGAAAAACTTCATTCTGTGTACTGATACCGTTGTTGTTTTTACTCCTTACGAACATATTGGATAATCAATTTCTAATTTCGATCAACTGCAAGCACATGTAATTATCATTAAGTGTCTGCCTTCGTATCAAGATAATATCTTACAGCTTCGCATCACCAGTTGGTTCCGCATTTTCTTTGTATCATCACGCTCGAAGGTCGGTGGACGAACACAACAATGGGCGACAAAGACGTTGCTGACGCATTCGGCTGTAGCAGGTACTTCAAATTCGTCGTTGTTAAAAATTTCTCTTGTTCAGACTTTTTTTATCTACAACTCTTCTTTTAAATGCGAGAAATTGATCAGGGAATAAATATTAACGAGTAAACTAAGCTTCTCAACGCAATCTGAAGACTGCTTACTATTGTTGTTAGTCGTTAAAAATTGTTTCAAAAAATTTTAATGAACATTTACTTTTGCAATTACTTAATTATTAAATATTGTTCAGAGCATTTTATTTTCTTTAGCTTAATTCTAATTGGTACTTTTTTTTTGCACAGAAATAGCATTGCTCCTATTAGCCAACTGCATTCAGCACCAACCAAACGATATGCAACACATTATAATATGAATCATGGAAAGCGTGGTCTTGCTGTAATATTTAATCATGAATTTTTTACTGTAAGTCACCTAAAACCACGTTGTGGAACTAATGTTGATTGTGAAAATTTGGCAAATACCCTTAGAGATCTAGGATTTGAGGTTCATGATTTTCACAATTCAACCCATAAAGTTATATCTCAATACTTGGAAAAAGGTATAATCTTCAAGATATACTTTTGCTATATTTAACTAATTTATATTAAATATTTACAATTTGTGTATTTATTCATTATTAGTGGCAGAAATGGATCATACACAGCATGATTGCCTTGTGGTTGCAGTCTTGAGTCATGGAGAACTTGGCCTTTTATATGCTCATGATACTCCTTACAAAGCTGATACTATTTGGTCCTATTTTACATCAGATAGATGTCCAACTCTTGCTGGTAAACCCAAGCTTTTTTTCATTCAAGCTTGTCAAGGAGACAGATTAGATGGTGGAATAACGCTCAAAGAGCGCACGGAAACTGATGGACATCCAACAGTGACTTTTAGAATTCCTACTCATGCTGACTTTCTGATAGCCTATTCAACAGTCCCAGGATTCTATTCATGGAGAAACACAACTAGAGGTTCATGGTTTATGCAAGCCTTATGTATTGAACTGAAAGAAAATGGCACACGCTATGATATATTAACTTTACTAACATTTGTTTGTCAGCGTGTGGCTATTGATTTTGAATCAAATACTCCTGACAATATTACAATGCATCAACAAAAACAGATTCCGTGCATTACTTCTATGTTGACTCGTCTTGTTAAGTTCCCACCAGTACATAACGGAGCATAAATCTCTAAGTTTAAAACAAAAGTTTTTAACTCTCTTGATTGAATAGATTGAATAAAAAAATAGAACCAGATTATAAATTAAGACCAATCTGCATTGAAATTTTGAGAATCTCAGCTTTTTTTTCTCTTTAAATTTACAATTTATGTGATACCTTTCAATTTTATTTACTTTCTTATCTACCATGTTTAATCAATTTTTCAAGAATGTTTTGATATAATTAAATTTTATAGTATTGAAGTACTACATTTTGAATGCTATGCTATTGATTTGCAAAGTACATTATTTTCATTATTATTGGAGCATTTTAAAAATGCTCCTGTGATATTATTCAGAAGCTTAAGGAAAAATTATATGCTACATAAATTTTTTTAGTAAAATTACTAAATAAAATTGAAATACTCTCAAAGTATAAGCAAATTGTATTAAAATAAATGAAAAAATATTTCAATCAACTGACAATCATAGTGATACTTTTTAAGAAATATTGTGGTATTTATATATAAATAACAAAATAAATTGATTACTACATGATTGCTCTATGATAAAATATAACTCAAGGCATGAGTCAAACTAAAAAATGAAAATGATTAATGCATTACTATTTCTGCTTTATTAAATTTATGCAATAAATAATTTGTACTCAAAGGATTTGCTGTTTTGTGGGATCAAGCATAAGTTCCTTGGATTCTTTTACTCTAAGTTCTTGTACGCTGGATGATCCTTTAATTCATATGAAAGGCATTTATTTATAAACTAGTAATTAAGAAATTGCATTTATAATATTTGATTTAATGGCGTGGTCTTCTCATAGTTATTTTCAAAAAAAAAAATATATGGTATCTGTACGAATATCTATCCAGTGAATATATATGACCCACTAACTGGTCATTTTTTGTAGAATTGGTTAAAATAATAAAATTGTTTATTATGGCTACAAACATTTTCTAATAAGAAAAGGTACTCTCATTAGATATCATTTCAATACGTCTGAAACAAATATAAAAATTTTTGTGACTTGAATAAAAGTGATATCTAAGTATTAGAGCTGCCTCAGTCTAGAATATGTAGGCTAGTGTAAGATATGTTCAAATTGACTTAAGTTACATATTAACAAGTCTCAATGGGGTGCCAAATCGTCGATGCGTGAATTGTAAGTAAATTATTATATTGATGCAGTTCCATTTCTTTTTTTGTCAAAAAACCACCGAAAAATAAATCACATTTTGGCCACTCAAAATCAGTTGATTGTCGTTTTTTAGAAATTCTTGATTCATGCTATGAAAACGCAATATTTCAGGTACGCCTAATTGAATGAACGTCTATATTTATATATATGAAATATATATTATGTATATGAAAAACAAAGCTGTTGTGCCTGAAAGTGACTCATTAAATTGATTTCAAATAATTTGAGTTGCAAAAGCAATAATTTTCTTTCATTATTCGTTTGACATCGACGTTTATCGTGTACAACAAAATGCTGCGACGCATAAAAAAGATAAAAAAAATATGTGTGTAAATTAAACATTTTTGAGAATATATATAAGATTTTTATATTACCTATTTTACATTGATACATTAATAATGTAAAAAATATTTGAAAAGGAATTTGTATAAAAAAAAATATGAATAAAGTATAGTAAATTATCAATTGTTTTATTTTTCTATTCGTTCTATGCAAGAGTTGAGTCGTCATAGATTTAAATTTTGCCATATTAGTTCCTTAAATGGTTTGTAGCTGTTTTTACGAAAATTTTCTGTATGTCTTTGACTCAAATGTTCATTATTTTCGTTATTGTTAAAAGCTACACAAGCAAGTAAAAACTTCATTATTTATTAACAAAACTCTAAATTACCCGAAATAGAACCTGATTTTTTCTGAAAACTTATCATTTTTGGATATTACAATAAAATATTTTGCTTTCGAATTTCTTCTACAGTGTCTATTAATAATAATGCAATTATTTAGAGCTTAATTTAACGAATTATATTGATTTTTTGAGGAAAAACTTTATAGTGTTGGCTAAATAGCTTTTTTCTTCCTTTATTCTCATATTTTACTTTGCCCTTTTCAGCTAAGTGCAGATTGCTTGCACATGCATGTAACACAACGTAATGCTTAGTAATTTACAGTATCGTCGTAATTTTCGAATTTCATAGATATCCCTACGATATTGTTATTTTATTTATTAATTATAATTTTCAAATAGTCTGAAAAAATAGAAAGAATTCAAACGCTATGTCATAAGAATTTAACAGAGTCTTGCGAAAAAGGTGTCGTATTCTCGTTGAGCGCGATCATACTTTATTAAACTATAAGGGTATCTCGCCCAGTGATTGACTGCTTTCGGACTGTGAATTACCATTGTTAATTACGCAATAATTATACTTTTTTCGTGATACATATTAGATATGGACAACAAGATGCACCGTTCGATTTAGAATTGAAAAACGTCAATGAAAATGTCTTTAATTGTTTATCAGAACATATTTTCCATAATGGCCATTCATTGATATTGTACGTCTACCCTAAATCGTCACAAAATGAATAAAGTAGACATTTTTTATTATTTCGTTAGTAAAACATTTTTGGTAACAAAAAATTTGCTTTTTTACCCTTTTTTATGTTCATTAAGTGAACGGCATTTGTCAATGTACCATTGCAAATAAATAGTTTAGCGCAGTAATTCTTTCGCATTTGGTCAATGACTCCATTAATACATTATCGGGTAAATTTTCTACATTTCAACCACTCGAGGAAATTTCTTATTTTGCTTATTTATATTGAAAAATCCTTTCAAAAATCCTTTGAGATGGCGATATTAAACGAATCGAAACAAAACTTGTTCGGGCATTATTCTCAACTCAATCGACAAAAAATGCAGTTTATTTCAATAATATTCGAGAAAACTCACTGAATATTTACTCAAATATATATATATGAGACACAACAATAATTGACCAAAGTCCATTTTAGACCCATCGCAAAGTTTCCTCTATTAGGAAGCAAAATTTATTTTCATTTCAAGGTCCCTTCGATACCTCAAGCATTGATTCACGGTTCGATTATTGAGTATTTTAGTACCTTAAATAATAGCTCGAGTTAATGAGTAATACATCGAACTTGATCAAGAGTCGACGTCAACTACGCATTTCAGTCGAAAAAAAAATACTCACGGAATTATGGCACCGGCGAAAATGGGTGCGAGCACGACTCGAAGCCCTTGGCGATCAGCACCAAGTAGCCGCGCTTGATCGCGAGGTCCGCGAGCCAGCTCAGGGGGAAGACGGTCAGCAGGCTCGAGATGAAGGGCAGCGACGAGGCGAGGCCTATCTGCGCTCGTGTATGTTAAAAAAAAATATATAATTGCGATTGTTACGAGGAGAGATAGAGAGAGAATGAAAATTGTATAAAGTACGAACCTCGGCGATGTCGTAGGCAGAGTACGCCCTTCGTGTAGAGGGGAACCTGCAGAGTATATATATGGAATTGTCCCAAGCGAATCCAGATGGGCCGATGACCAAGGCCCCCGCATCGGCACCGACGTCAGTATCTTCAGCCAGGGCAATTTCAATTTCGTCTAAACGCTCATCACTACGGGATTGGGCGTACGTCGATCTTGACTTCTTCCTGCTTCGCGACATCCTCTTCCGCGGTCTGCGCTTCGGCACCACTCGGGCTTGATCGTCGTCTTTTCCGCCTCGATCAAGTCCCTCTCCTCGGCGCTTGTACGCGAAAGCTCGACCGGCGAGTCGTGCACGCAGAGGAAGATGGCGAGGCTGGTGCAGCAGCTCATCGCGCCGAACCCGTCGAAGATGCCCTGCCAGCCCAGGTAGGTCGTGGCTATGTATGGCCCGACAGCGCCGTGGCGACGATCGAGCCCACCGACATGCCGCACTTGACGATTCCACCTGTAATGGCGATTATTAATTTTATATCATCGTTATGCGTCACATTCGTTACACTAAGGGAACGAGATGGTGTTTCGCGGACTGATATTTAAAAATGGTTCTATAAATCGAAATAGTTGAGATATATTTTTTTTAATAGTAAAATATTTTCACCTGATTGACCAAAAACAGTACTTTTTTCATAATACTAAATGTTGTGATTAAAAGAAGAGCAAAATAATTTGTCAAAATTCTGCTCCTTTTAAGTGAAAGGGAGATCCATAGATCAATATTGACATGGAACTTTCGTCAAAATTACGTGACCAATTTAATCCAATCTCAAAATCTAGTTAATATGAAAGAAGTAATGTAATTGAGATTTCAGAGATGAGATGGTTTTTTTCGTCAATTAGATGTAGTATAAGAACATATTCTACTATAAAAAAATAGTTATTTATGTAACAAGTGCCCAAAAGGCGTTTTTGGGCACGAGTGTGCGGAAAAAGACACGAGTGCCGGTTATGCCAAACTTCCTCCGACCAAAATTCCTCCGACTCCTCGCACAAACTGCAATTTTCCAAACATTTCATGACGACGAAGGCGTCGCTCCGGTCCAGCTCGTATCCTCTCTTCGTCAGGCGTTCCACGACAACCTGTAGACCTGACGCTAATTTCATTTAAACATACCAAGAACCGATTTTATTCATCTCGTCGAAATTATTCTCGGTGGGGAAAACGAAGCTCGACAAATCAGCGCCACGATCCAAGAGTTTATGGACCACATTTGGATTGAGACTTGCCACAACCAGTTGAAGCGGTGTCCTGCCCAACTTGTCCCGAACGTCGAATCGCAACGTCAGCCGCATCTCATCAATGGTCTCGAAGAAAATCTCCGTCAAGTCATCGTCTTTTTCCTGGCAAATGATTTGCAGAGGAGTCGATCCATCGTTGTCAACCAAATTCGGATCGCGCCCCTTTTCAGTAGTACTTTTGCTACTTCTCCAATCACGTCTGTATCACCAATTAACAAGGTTAATTGCAGCGGTGTACGGCCCAACTTGTCTTTTGCATCGATCCGCACCTGCTGCTGCATGTCGTCGTTGACCTTGAGAAACGTCTCTACCATCTCGGCATAACTATACATGCAAATGCAGTGCAGAGGGGTCAATCCATCATTGTTGACCAAATTAGGATTACGCCGGGTTTCAAGAGCGATTCGAGTATCTCTGACATGTAGCACGCCCGCGCATCCAGGTGAAGCGGTGAATCGCCCGTATCAGGTACGAGGCAATTGGGATCCTGGCCGAGCTCGAGGAATTTCTCGACGAGGTAACAGCAGCCGTCCTCGCAGGCCAAGTGAAAATGTGTGTAGCCGGACGGGTTGCTGTAGTTCAGGTCAAACTTGTTGTATATTTTGAAGAGGTCCGAGATGACTTCGGCTCCGAGACCTAGTGCACGATGAACTGCTGTGGTGCGACGAGTTTTGAGAGCTTTCCACTTTTCTAGATAGCTCCAATCACCTTGGCATACTTTTTTTCTGAAAATTTGGACAATTTCCAACAAAAAAGTTGCTGGGCACTTTTATTTTTGAATCATTCTACCCTGATCCAGGAATTATTTGAATATTTGTGATTTTTCATGAATTTCAGAAAAAC